CCGGTCGAAATGAGACGCAGAACGCAGTAAAAGTCCGGGAGGACTGAGGTGCGGATTGGAGGCCTTTTAAGATGAACTTTGGATGCCGATTGGTTTTCGTGGAGGCGTGGTTCAAACCTGATTGGCTGTGTCGCAGGCAGATGAAGGCGAGTGATCAGTTTCTTCAGTTGAACTTCCGCCTAGGCTCCATTTATTTTAAAACAATTGTTTATGTCCTACCAGGCTTATATGAAAAAATAGTGTTAAAGTAACTAAATTTGATTAAGTAAATGCCAAAAAACGGTTGCATTATTTTTTTCAGTGCACTGAATTAAATTTCTTTTTGTATACACTCTGTGTGTAAAAATAAATTCTGTCTTAGTCTAAGTCTAAGTAAACAGCCAAAAGGAAGAGTTCCTCATGACATGAGAAACGTTGGGAAGAATCATGTGACTCAGATGAAGCGACTGAGCTTCCACCTGTTTCATAACCTTGCATAACCGCTGTGTGTGCAAAACTGCCTGACAGGTCTGATAACGAGATTGAGACACCCCGTCACCAAAGGAGAACGAAGCTCCCAGGAAATCACTGATCCGTCAAAAGGTTCGATTATAAACTTGTTGTATAAATTCAACTGGAACTCTGTGACCTTCATTCACACCAGTTGTATAAAGTTAACTGGAAATAACCAACACTTGCTGCACTGCTGAAACCTTGTATTTTGCTGACCTCTTGTGGTTTATTGAAAGGCTGGCATTAGATTTACAGTGAAATGCAGTAAAACTGTTGGTCACCTTCAGATTTTATCATAAGTTAAGGCACTTTAGGGTTTTTGGTTTTCAAGAAAAAAAAACAAATTGCCTGAAAGAACACGGACCTGTGTGTCTGTCTGCCTTCATTGTCTCTGGTTATATTAAACAGCAGCTTCATAAATCCAAGGAGCTCTGTGTGAACTGGTGCATAAAAATGAGGTGGAGCTCTGATTAATATTATGCCACTTTTACAGGCGACAGTAGGCTGAAAAACTATAAGACAAACCCCAACAAATTCTGCTATGACATACGCAAATGTTGTCAAGATATTCTAAACTAACCAGGTTACCGTCACACTAACTGCTGAAATATACGGAGCCCCTCTGATGACATGGTCAAAAAAAATGTTTCATTGTGGCCACGAAGTAGTATTTTGCGGCCACGCAATAAGTATAACGTGCGCACGAAATACTACCTTTGTGGCCACGCAATAAGTATAACGTGCGCACGAAATACTACTTCGTGGCCACGCAATAAGTTTACGTGCGCACGAAATACTTATTAATAATATCAATAAATCCGCCCCTGTTTTCAGGCTTATGTTCACTGTAATGACTTATCTTGGACAGGCTGCTATGTAAACGGTCCTTTAGTCCTTCGTTTAGCTATGCTGCGGTTGTTTACACTACGCCTTTTCCACCTAAAATGGTGTCTTAGCAACAAATGTCACGTGACTGGCGGAGACCGACTGGGTAAGCAAATCGAGCGCGCCTTAGACCTTAGAGAAGGCGCGTTCGATTTGATTTGATTATATTGTCCATCCTAATTATATATTACAAAAAATTTTTACCTGCCATGTTACTTAGTCTATAAGGGCCACTGAATTTTAATATACACACAT